GTCCTTTTGCTGAATCACTCTGAAATTTTAAGAGAGTCCAGTTTGGTTGAAGCATCATTGGGTAGCTCGCACAGATCTATGTAGGAAACTTTTTCTGAACTGGATTGACTTTGAGGAAAATGATATTTAGGTTGAGCGTTTCCATTGTAACAGGTATAAAGGGGCCGTACAGTATAAAGTGGCCCTACTGAAATCTGTCCTTTATGTAGCCATTTCTCAAAGATCATATAAATTTAAACCTTCCTATGATAGTAGTTTGCAAAATTGATACCGTGAATCATTATTAGATTCATGCTTTTAATTGACATGTCTGGGTTTTAGGCCATGAACACAATCATCAGCACTTCTGAAGGGGACTTGAGGAAAGCAATTACATTCTTACAGAGTGCATACCGACTCAGAGCAGACGAGGACATCACGGTGCAAGACATCTATGAGATAGGAGGGGTGAGTGATGGTGTCATGCATACAGATGCATCTGCTTAGCTTAAAGGTCACAGTTGTCAAGGTAAAGGAGATTTCGCAAGGACATGGTTCGTGGAAGTGTAGCTTTATGGTCAGGGTTTGTAAGTCCTGACCGTAGCCGGGTCAGGAGGTTCGAATCCAGCAGCTGCTGGGTGCATGTTGCGATCTTGGGCAAGTCACTTTACCCTTGATTTGCTTCTCTCCATGCTGGATTGTTAATGGGTGCCTGTGACGGCAGTATGGGTGGAGATTTCTTGTCACATTGGGGGGGGGAATGATTTCTGATTGGTCATCCTTGTGCGGAGTGTGGCATGGCACAGGTTAGGGTTGAGTGGCTTTCATTTCTCATTCGAGCAATCCAACTGTAGAACATCGGAACGTACTGATCAAAAAGTGAAGTTGTTGACTCGCTGAGTCTTCTCATAAGTGCTGTTTTGTGACTGAAAACAGGCTGTTCCCATTTAGCGTTAATTACCACATGTTCTTTTCTTAGGTGGTTCCTAATCAAGTCATGACCAACCTAATGATAACCTGTTCATCAGGGTCCTACGAAAAGCTTGAAAAGACAGTCCTAGATCTCCAGAAGGAAGGCTATGCTGCGACACAGGTAGTCACACAGGTGAGACTGCTTTTGTCTTCAAACTTCCATTTTTTTGTGCCACGTGAGCAGTCTTTAAAAAAAACAAAAATGGTGAAGCATACCCTCTAGCATGAGATTTTGAAAAAGTAAAAAGTGGACATTTTTCTCTCAATTCGGCTTGAGGCGAACCGCACATCTTCAGGAAAATCCCAAATACTCAGGTTGGCACCGAGGGCCATAAAATCTCATCACAGGGCCTTGTGGGCATCTAGCTACCGCAATTGCTCTCTGCTCACACCTACAACATGCATGCAGATGGACTGGCCTGGGTCAGGTTCTACCCACATGAGGTTACGTCATGCAGCCCTTAGAAATCAGAGCTTACCAATGCCTTCCAAGAGGAGTTGGGCCTTGGCCGAGAAGTGTGACACATGGAGGTTACGTTTCGCCTGTCAGGCATTATTTAGCATCCAACGGAAATTGAAATGACAGTCAGTTAGTGCCTTAATTTTTAAAAGTGGAAGTTTATTCATCATTCCCCGCTCCTAAATGTAAGGATAGAGTGAACAAATGCTTAATTTTATGCCGTTGTGTTTTGCATCATCAAGCCACCCCGAATAGGGGCCAAGAGAGGGTGCACTTTCCCAGCAATGGAGGCTCCTCAGTGGGAACTGCGTATCGCTGGTTCACGAATGTGTAGGAAATGCATACCTTGCGATCGCATTGCTACCAACTAAACGAGCGCTCTCCACCAGCTCTTTTCAACTGATGAGGGGGTGCTTTTGCTCGGGGCTTATTCATGTCGGAAGATTTCATCAAAAACCCACTCTCAAAATAGATGTAAACTTGTTTCCAATTTCTGCAGCTTTTTGACCTGGTGGTGGAAAGGGGCGACTTGACAGACACGCAGAAATCAGCAATAATGGAGCGCATGGCCATAATCGATAAGAGGCTGTGCGATGGTGCAGACGAGTATTTGCAGGTCATGGACATCTTCACTCACATGATGGGCCAGATCTGCAACATCTGAGTTCGCTGGAATTTTGTTGACTTTCTGTACTTTTTTCACATTTGATAATCCCTTCTCAGCTATTGGCTATTAGATTTTGTTTCAGTATTTGTTCATGTATAATGTATTCTATGCATAGATTTTTTCAAACACCCCCCCTAACTAAAAAGATTGGGGAGTATACATCATGGCAAAGCTCATGATTTGTACCATTTCTTCCAACCTTTCAAGTGTGGACTCTGGAGATTATGCTTGCCCTTGGAGCTATATTTAGCTGGAGTTTTTGGAGTTATTAGATGAAATCTGCTTGGCACATCTGAGTTAGTGCACAAACCTATGGAAAACTCCAAATTTGTATGGTTTTTGTTTGGCTATTTGCATATCTCTGTCTGTATTCTAAAAAGATATGTCAACAAAATTGACATGCTTATTTTTAAATGCACATTCAGCATAAAATGAGCCGTGAAGTCAAGACTTCTCTATGCTGAGAATGACGAGTTAGTGCCGTAGTAATTCAGTATAGCTTTATGTGCTGGGCCTGGTGAAGCCGTTGCTTTCAGAGGGATTTGTTAATTGTGGGCTTTTGTACGAGCCTCCGGGAGGCAAACCGAGATGGAGACAAGATGCCAGAATTCCAAAGGCAGATGCATAAATGTACATTTATTGGCCAGTCATAGACATTGGCAGGTACATCAGGCACTGAAGTTGCCTGTCTTTGTTGGGTTTCATAGGCATCTGACTCACCCTTTGATTGGTTTAAAAAGGAAGATGGTGAGATAGATGATATTGAACTCCTATAGTGATGTCCATCCTTTCTTGTTGAATTCATGGCCTCCTTTTCAGTCATTTTATGTCATTTTGTCGGGAAACCCCCTTGAAGCTGTACCAAGTTTCAAAAGCTTTTATTACCATAATTCAAGAGAGTTAATAAAAAAAGAAAAAGCATATGATTTTTGCAAGAATTCTGTTATTGAGCTACTGTATGTCTTGAAAACTACAGATTGACCATTTTGGCAAGTAGAATTTCAAGTCATTACTTTGGCAACACCTGGCTCATTGGATGCACATTTGGCGTCTGCTTTGCTTTCTTGACCAGTGAGTTTTCATGACTTGTCAAAATGCACCCCAGTGGTGGTGGTGGTGGTGGTGGGGGGGGTATTGTCACTGCAGATGGAGGCGCCTTGGAATTACGTGTACATGTAAGAATCCTGAGTAAAATACAACGGCCTTGTAATAAAGGAGTTTAGACTGCCAGGGGTGGAACATGGAATATCCACGGAACAGCAAGTTTTGGAGGGGCACCACAGCAGCATGGGGTCTATGGTACAGAAGATTTTCAGTCACATTATTTTGACGGTCAGCATTCAACCTACACTGATGTGCGTGGAAATGCACGCCTTTGAAGTCTCAAATTGTGGTGTACATGAAATTGTCAATTAGAAAGACTGATTCGGAATGTACGTCTTCACTGACGTGGTACGCTTCCTAATTAATGATTTGCCCTCGTGTTGGTGTCAAGCTCATAGACCAATCCTGTGACAAGAACCAGGAGCCATTACTGTGTGTCCCCACGCATATGCAGAAAAGAGATGCACATTGAACGCTTCCTGTATCAGTCAATGGGAGCACACGGCCAGCCAAAATCACGTGCTTGTCGAGCTTGGGAGTGCGTGAGTCCGAGTGACGGACACCGCAGTAGTGGCATCAGTTAACACCTTGATGGAATACTCGGGATTTCCTCAAAATCCTGAAATCAGGACCTCCTGATAGTACCACTTCGCTACGCGCATGGATTTATCTAAACCCAAGGGGCAAATACATCTTGCAATGTCCAGGCACTATCACACAGGGTCACTGTTTCATTTTGATAGCCACCAAGCTTACTGTTCCGACGCAGTGGAGAGCGTGATTACTTGCACACTTGTGCATCAACAACAAAATAAATTCAGAGAACAGCCAACGAAATCGTAATTTTTGTACATGTATTTAATAAATCTAGACAATACACATAGTACAACAAAATCGGGAGCATTAACCCAACTAATAACCAGCATATGTGACAATGACAAACATCAATTGAGACTGAAATGATCAACAGAATTAGTGGCCTTTTAAAATGTATTACCGACGTTTGTCTGGATAAAGGTTTCGTTACTTGCACGTACATTAATGATATTGAAGATACATTTACATTTAATTCTTTTGCAACTTGGAACGAGCGCAGACATAAAACGATTAATGGTTTCCATTCCTGACCAAATCGGTAACGCCTGAAACACCTTACAGAAAAATGCGTCAGAATATATCCCCGACGTGACTTTCTCAATAGCACCCAGCAGCCATGGCCAGTTAAACATGCCAGCAGTGAGTTGAAAGAAACCGTATCCCCCCTAAAATATGCCTTCTCGTTTATGTTTTTGGCAACGTAGGCCCCGAGTCTCTCTGGCAAATGTAGAAGCGACTCAACAGAAAAGAACCCATCAGGTTCTTGGTTACAATTATAATTGCCGGTGAAGTTGATATTTAAGATGACAATCAAACAGCAGTCATATAAATCCATTGCTGTAATAGGTTTTTTTTCTTTAGCAAATTCTCTTACCGTAACAATACAAGTACAGCTTTGCGACACACTGCAACAGCTGCAACTTTTTTTAAGTTTCAACCCAAACAATTTATTTTTATAATATATATATTAACAAAGTGCTCCAAAGGAAAATACTCTTTATGGTAACAACTACAGATACAACTACATCAGCTCACGGGTAATGCTCGCTTTAAATACTTAAAATATCAATATCCATAAGTTTTACAAGTAAACACTACTTGGCCCACAGAGGGTGGGCCCCCTTTTGTAAAGGGGGAAGAGAATGGGCCCCCTTGGAGTTAGCCTTGTCGAGCTTATCGCAGTCAGTGATTCAATCCAAACGGACGATCAACAAATCTCAGGTGCTTTATGGACCTGATATCTAAATGTCACACTGAAACCCCATAAAAACAATAAACCCCAACTCGCTTTTTGGTCACTAAAGACTCGAATGGCTTTAGCTCAATTTTCGCAAGTAATACGCAGGTGTCGTCGCACGTCCGAGGAGGATCCTGTCCGTAAGCAGAGGACCAATCAGGCACTGCGAATGGCGTCGCCACGGCGACTTGTCCACAGAGAATTAAATCAGGTCGGCCACGTTCATGGGCATCTCATCAATGTCAGTGTTATAAAACTCTTCTAGTTCCTGGAGGGCTCGCAAGTCCTCTTGAGCGACGAAATTGATAGCTACACCCTTCCGACCAAAGCGGCCACCACGGCCAATCCTGTAAGGTGAGAAAAAGAAGAAACAATTTGGAAACTACAATCGCATCAGAGGATTTCAAGGAACATGACCTGCAACACCAAGCAACTGGTCTTGAAGACAGCCCCAAGTTTGCCTTGGGGCATTCAACTGTGAGCTCATTCTAATTCTGGTCACTTCACAGCTTTGAGATGAAAATTCTACAAATTGTACTTCTCACACGCTCTGCAATAAATGAGTCACATCGCCTGGGCCACTTTTGAGCTATGGGCCTTTGAAAGAATCTTGCACAGTGTTTACACAGTAAGAATCCTCAACAATTTAAAACCACAAAACATCCAATTTCCATCATACCAAACTGAGTGGCATCAAAACGAAACAAAGAACCCAATCTAACACAGTAAAACTCAAAAGTGGCTCCAGTGACTTGTGTCTAACTTTTACAGAGTGGGTCATATTTGGAAAAATCTTCCAGGTTTCGCTTGACCCTTTTCAGGGTGTGGATAGGAAGGCTTTGTCTGGGGGTCATCCGTGTGCTGATAGGAGTGTAGCTATGCATATTGAGACATGAAGGAGCAGGTGCAATCTCCCACGCCCCACCCATTACGCATTGCAAGGTTTGCTCTCCTTCCTCTGACGACCGCAAATGACATGATCAGGAAATCATCACGGTGCTTTTTGGGAAGTTCAAACATAACATTCAGGGTACTGCTCGGCATTAACCACCAGCTGGGTCATTCTCTAAAATTGGAGTCCAATTTTTCTCATGTCCCTGTTACATCTGACAAAGAACACAGCCCGTTTGGAACACTGTCTTCAATTTCTAAGAGTGATCAAGTCAAGTAAAATACCTGCTAGGAGTGCGGGTGTTGACCCCAGCGTAACGTTAAAATTTCTGATGTTTAAACCAATTAAAACCACTCACCTGTGAATGTAGTTCTCCCTGTTGGAGGGCAGGTCATAGTTGATGACCAGCGAGATCTGCTGGACGTCAATACCACGGGCCAGCAGGTCAGTGGTGATCAGCACGCGGCTGGAGCCAGAGCGGAACTCCCTCATGATGATGTCCCGGTCCTTCTGCTCCATATCTCCGTGCTGGAGGAAAAAAGACAAAGAGAATGGCAACTTGCGTTAACGGCTGGACTTGTCGTGGTCAGCCAGTTGGGTACTTCAACAGAGTGTGCCCTAAGCAAAGCAAATTGTGGGTCGTTATTGTTTGTGTGCGCGCCTCAGGTCGGCCCTGTCCATGCTGCAACACACAGACTCACAAGCACTGCACATATTTGAGCTGGCACGACCTCAGTTGCTGTGTTCTTGAATGGCCTCTCCCTTTTGAAATGCCAAACCATCTTAAACTATTTGAACAGAAGAACGAGTTGAAACTCCTAAAACATCTACACAATATGTTCACACAGATGAGTACAGAGGCCCAAGTCAATAAACCTACACCAGGTTAGATCGCCAGACTTGCAAGTGCAAGCGGCAGAGGTAAATGGAAAGGGAATGCTTAATTTATAGCCAGTCTTCAATGGAACTTGAGACTGCCCGAATTATGACCGACAGAACTTGTCACGACAAGTGAGTCCTTCTGGATATTTGCAGGTTGTGAATATTCCTCGCATGGTTTACCCCCTCAGTCACCGCCACCGAGTGGCTCAGAGAAGACGCAGGAATATGCGAGGAGCCCTGTCCACACCAATGCCAGAACATCGGGGACAGGGGGTTTGCTCTCCAACGTCGTGGAAGGGGAATGTACATCAGAACCCTGACAGAAGGGTTCAGCTCCCATACGCCACACTGGCAGAGCCGGGCGGTGTGTTAAGCCGCCTGGATACCATCGTTGGCTGTAATTTGAACGATTCTAATCAACTGAAATTTGGGCAAGCTTATAAAAAACATTTGCACAATTGGAACAATCGTGTACATCGTCAGGCCAATTCAAAACACCAACTACTTTCGACTTAATTGATGATTGGACTCTGATCAGGTGCAGTCATCTTCCACTTCAATGTCTTCAGACCTGAGGCTACTCTGAGACAAGCCTGTATGCCTCAGAAATATCTAATGAGAACCTTTTAAAGTCAGTAAACAGGACCTAATTGCATACCAAAGCAAAGCAGAAAAAATCTAGATTAGTTGGCAGGGCACCAGTCACACGCAGCATATTTACCATGAACCTTTGACCAGGAAATCCATTTTTCGCAAAGCAAATATTTTCAAAACTGAAAATTTTCTGAGATTCGCAAGTATGAAATTGCCCCCCCCCCATGTATGGTGACTGGTAACCGCCAAGCAGACCTATCATCGACTATGCCATTAAGCAATCCCAGGATGGAGAAACTCTTCAGACTTACCATGCTGGAGACGGTGAAGTCTTTCCTCGTCATAGCGTCGTGCAACATGGACACTTTCCTTCTCGTATTGCAGAAAATGACAGCCTGCGTGATGGTCAGCGTTTCATACAAGTCGCAGAGAGTGTCAAACTTCCAATCCTATGAAATGGACAAAGACAAGAGAAGATGAGGCCTTTCTAAATTCTATAAATTTTAATATTCATCTATGACCAAGCATTAACAGAGGTTTTGTGTGGTGGCCATCTCGCAGGGCAGTTTTCTTTTGCTCAACAGGGAAACCTCCCTCGAGCATACCCTGTGGAACAAAAGCAGTGCCCCACAAGATGGCAGCCACCCAAAACCTCTGTTGGGTCACTCCTGGGCAACAATGCCAATCTCATAAGCAAAATCTCCTATTTCATTTCAGACAACGTTTTGAGCACCAAACTACAACCGAACAGAGATACGAGCACGGACAGTACACAAGTATAACTGATAATGTACGTAGCTGTCATAACAAGGTTATTTGTAAAGTCCACAGGACCTTGTAATAACACTGTTCTGCGGCATTTGGCCATCTTTAACAAGTATGCGTTCGTTTTCCTCTAGACATCTGTGGGGTTAAACTCCTTGCCTGTTATTTCAAACATGAAATACGTCCAGTTGTTTGAGGCTTACCCCCACACTTCAGACAAGGAAACATCTGGAGCTGACAAAGTGTAATGAGGCAGTTGCTCTAGAAAGGATGAAAATCTTGATATCCTGTCCAACACGTGGTGAGCAGCGGAAACAAAGCAGTAGCAATGCGCTCTGCTGACACTTTGGATACTTTTAAATCTCGCTTAAAAACACATTTATTTAAGGATTATTACTTACATTGTACTTGTTAGTTTGAATTTCTTCGTTTTATTCACATTTTAATTTAATGTTTATTTTTGTTTTATAACTCCTGTTACTTTGTTTTAATTATTTAAAGTTAATTTAATTTTTGCATTTTAGTGTACAGTGCTTTGAGATGTCATTGCCATGGAAAGCGTTTTTTAAATAATTCATTATTACTCCATTATCATTATTAAATCAAATCTGCTATCTAGTCAGTCAGGATGTGAGTGGAATAACATTGTCTGGTCTTGTGCACTGTATCGTGATTGCCTAGCTCTGGGGCTGATGGTGGATGCGGACTGGGTCCACCTGCGGACAATCGTACCTCCTTTTCTACGTTGACGTAGAACTGCTTGATGCCCTCCAGCGACAGCTCCTCCTTCTTCACCAGGATGCGGATAGGCTTGACCATGAACTTGGTGGTCACGTCCAGCACGTCCGGGGGCATGGTGGCCGACAATAAGATCACCTGCGAGAGCACACAGGACCTAGTTCTGAAGCCTTCAACCCAAAATTAACTCCGAGATAACCTTGAGGGATTTTTTTTGCGGTGGGGGGAGGGCAATCAGTGTCATGTATAGTGACTTCCTGAAATTAGCCAGACTGAGGATGAAATCTTACTGCCCAGGATTTTTGATGTTAAACCCTGCCTCCCTCGGCTTTTGTACTAAAGAAATATTAAGTAGCTGTCTGAGCCCGAAGGGCCTAGCACTACAAATTACTACTAGGGCACGTCCATTGTTACTCGTTCCGAGAAACAAGGTCATGCACTCGTACAAGCCACAGCGCTGTATGCTACATTTTATTAAGTGGTACTTTGTAATTTTCAGTGAGGTTAGGGTCAACAGACAAGCATGTCAATGAAGTCAACTGACCTGGAGCAAATCATGGTTCAGCATCCTGAAGACGTCATAGATTTGATCCTTGAAGCCCCTGGACAACATCTCGTCGGCTTCATCCAAGACAAACATCTTGATGTAGTCGGTGTCTGTCAGAGGCAAATCCATAATGTTAAGTAAGATGGGAAGTAGACGCGACAAGCACAGAATTAGCGACTTTAAGCTGTTGACCAATTTTACTAAGCAAACGTTTTCTGCGCTTAACACATTTCTGTGCTGTTCCTCTGCAGCTGTTCCTCGCATGGTTTACCCCCTCAGTCACCGCCACCGAGTGGCTCAGAGAAGACGCAGGAATATGCGAGGAGCCCTGTCCACACCAATGCCGGAACATCGGGGACAGGGGGTTTGCTCTCCAACGTCGTGGAAGGGGAATGTACATCAGAACCCTGACAGAAGGGTTCAGCTCCCATACGCCACACTGGCAGAGCCGGGCGGTGTGTTAAGCCGCCTGGATACCATCGTTGGTGGGAAACCGCATTTACTTGTGAAATTCGTATAGAAAGAGATTGCCATTACTGGCAAGTAGCAATGCTTACTACAAAAAAAAATCAACAAACGATTCCCTTCCCATTCCAAGAGAAATCATATTTCAAAGTGTTCCGTCTAAGTCGGCAACATCTTTTGTATCTTGTCGGATGTTTCTACTTTCCAGACCATCTGCAATGTACGAGCATTTAAGTTACATTTGCATAATCAATTTCCCTCCTCATGGATCTATCCGGTCTACGCATCCCATGCCCCCAATGAGCATTTCCTTCCAAAATTAATCAATCAGCGCTGCTTTCTGACCTCCGCAGCTTTTGACCAAACTGCAGATTGTCTTAACAAGTCCCAAGAGAAACGGGCACATGAACTCACTCAGGACGTTCCTCCGGATCATGTCAAAGACTCTGCCGGGGGTGCCCACCACAATGTGGACCTTCGTTCCCAGCTTGGAGATGTCCGTCTGCACGGCAGTGCCGCCGATGCAGGCCACACACTTGGCATTCATGTAGTCGCCCAGCGCCAGGATCACCTTCTGGATCTGCAGTTCCAAGGAAAAAAAACAACAACTGGATCCACTGGGCTCGATTCTCGCTTTATAGCATCTGAATCGGCACCACGCTTTGCTCGAGAGTCTTTAGTGACAAGGCAATGCGTCCTCTAACACTGTGTGGAAGGCACTGGTGTGTTCAGCTGACTGGCAACATTACACCAAATGAAGGTGGACGGATTTTTCTCCCTGATTAATCCTGCTTAAGGCAAAAATCCCCGAAGGAGCCATAAGATATGATCATGAAATCCAAATAACTCTGAACTGTCTCCTCTGTCAAGCATCATTCACCAATTTAAATCTTTTTGGTTCTTTTCTCACACAAACAGGGTCAAAGCAAGCCTTACAAAGCATCACTGGTTTAGACAGTTTGATCATGGATCCGCTTTCATCATGGATCCCACTAAAGAAAAAAAACAAAAACAAAAAACAGATGGGGGCGTGCTTTCTACAGAGTCTGCACACTGGGAACGGATCAAATATTCCGCCCTCCATCTCTCTGCCTGTACCTGGGTAGCCAGCTCTCTGGTCGGGGCCAGGACCAGTGCCTGGACTTCGTTCTTGCTCGTGTCAATTTGGCGCAGGATGGAGATGGCAAACGTGGCCGTCTTTCCAGTGCCCGACTGGGCCTGAGCAATAACGTCTTTGCCTGGCGAATGAAATGAGAACAAAAAACACCTAGCATTTGTGGCAGTACAAGAACTAGCTGCAAGGAAGCAACGAAGCGCAATTAGATGCCGACATGTTAAATCAATTAAAATATCGCAAAACTTGTATGCAACGTTCACATTTCCAAACTATGTTCTCTTTACTACCCCTTGAACAGTCCTTGCAAACACCAAAATGTTACCTCTCAGTAATGTCCGACAACAGGGATACAGCCGACCCCTTATCTCTGCACAGTCCGTGCAGATTTCCCAAGGTTACAGGGATGACCGTATGGGGTGTGGGCAGGGGTGGGAGTGCAGATTTCCCAAGGTTACAGGGATGACCGTATGGGGTGTGGGCGGGGTGGGAGTGCAGATTTCCCAAGGTTACAGGGATGACTGTATGGGGTGTGGGCGGGGGTGGGAGAGTTCACTCACCATGGCAACACGGTACTATAGCAAGCTGCTGAATAGCAGAGGGTTTTTCAAAGCCGTAAGCGTAGATGCCCCTTAGTAGGGGATCTGGCAATTCCATGTCATCGAAGCTCTCGTAACATTCTGTAGTGCTGCAATTCTGAGGGAACGTACAATGAAAGGCGTATGTCTTGAGAAGTTTCCAGTTTAACACAGTCGCAGCAGTGGACGATCTTTTCAAATTCGGGTCAGACACGTTAACGTCCAAGTGCAGGCATACTTTTTGACAACCCCAACGTACTTTCATTGTCAAATGTTACAGCGATCTCTGCCCCTAGTTTAATCAACCACGGTCAAAGGGCAGTTCGCTGATGGAAGTGGAAGTTCTGGTGAGCTTCCTGTTTGATTACGATTCTTCCGACCGTCTGCTTTTTCAATTTTCTGTTGGTGTTGGTTCTACATAGTGAGATAATGCCCCCTGGGTGAAGTTGCCAATACTGCACTTACCAGAAAAACTGAAATCGACCTTCAAAATGATCCAGATATTTTTTTTAGGTTGGTTCCCGGTTAATCTGTTTTACACCACATTGGGGAAAAACAAGATTATTACTGAAAGGCACAAACAGTCGGGCTTCTATTTTTAGATTGCTTACTTCAGTTTCATTAGACTGGTCTCCTACGTTAGGGTCCCTGCTGTCTACGCCACAGGAGTTACCAGCATTTCCAGAACCTTCAGAGGTTGTCTGGGGTCTATAAAGTCAAGCAGACAGATGTTTTCAATCAGTAATGAATTTCTCACTGTCATCTTTAGAATTAAAAGTTCCATCATACCAAAAAGAAAAAGGGGAAAAAAATCCAGATCAGATTTTCGCTCACTGTGGTACATGTTTATCCGGAGCTGTAATGGAACCTGGTGCCCAGCAAACATTGATTAACAGCAACGGTCCTCAATTCTACAACAGGTGCAAGACTCCGGACTGTTGGGGATAAAAGATGTCAGTCATGTCTGCTCATGCAAACACAGATGCTCCGGTTGACAACTAACGCTCTCTCATTCACAAAATGACCAGAAGAAGACCGAGCCTTTCACATGCCAACAAAGAGAAAAGCTACACACGTACCCTATTTTGGCAGTTCACATCCTGTTTTGTAACACTACACAAAATGGGCAACAAACTATGCATGGATTTACAGCCTGCACACATGATTAGAATCAGATAATTTACGACTCGAAGAAAGAGAGAAAAAATTGCCAAACCCATCTTTACAAAACTTGCTTTGATTTACAAACTAAAAAACAGCCAAAGCACACCACACTGAGAAACTGGAACTGTACGGCGTCCAAAATGAAGACAAATGCCGCAAAATGAGAAGCCATTACTGCGGGCCATCTTATTCACACACAGGTGGTACACATGCGTTACATTCCTGTCCTACCAATAAGGTGTCAGAATTTGCCGAAGTGCTCATGCGCACACGCTCGAGTTGAAACGTGCGGTGGGGGGGGGGAGGAGTAGGCGATGGCCACAAGGCAAGTGGCATCTCCTCAGATTTGTCTTTAGGACCGTACAGTTAAACATAGGCAAGCCAATAGATGGAGCCTGGCGGTTCAAATTAGTAAAGTGTAAGCTGAATCTAGCGTGCTCCACATATCCTTAAACCCTGGCGTCATTTCTTCATCAAATGTACCTAATGGTGGGGTCTGCAGCGGAAGAACTGTTTCTGGTTCCTGTGATCTCCTGCCCAAATAACTGACGTAATGCACAAGTTGGCCATATTGCACTGAAAGCAAGTTAACTTTTGTATTTTGGGAACTTAATTGTAAAAGTGAAAACCATGAAATAAGAGTTCACAACAGATTACTGTTATTTACAAGGACGAATAATTTAAATTTATTTATCATTTCTAAATGCTTTAAAACCCTGACCCCGCCAGAAGCAGCACAGTGCATTAAGTGAAAAGGTCTGATGCACTTTGATGCCAAGCTCAGACAATGGAAGCTAGTCCCACTGAACAAAGCTACTGTTGGATCTTGTGGTGACTGGCAACCACTGACTCCCAAGGCTGTTCTGCCTTGGGGAGAGTCAACCTGATGGATCTTGTAACACTGGGCAAGCAAGCCGCACTGACGAATAATGCAGTCCGATGTGTCTGACAAGGTTTCTAACCAAATTAAGATGGAGGTTTAAAGCAACAATTCAACAAAAAGACAGTGGCGCATGAAACCCAAATAGTCTGGCACCACCCCATTGGGTAGGTTACACTGAATACGATAGATTCGGGGAATATGATGAAAATTAGCTTCCTTGTGAACATGGTTTATTCGGTTTGCAAGTGTAAAGTCAATTCAGTTTAAACCACACCCACAGCATTTAGAGTTACTTGGACCACAGAATCGGAAGTTAAAGCACAACTTGTCTGTTCGAACAATGGAAATACTTTGTGGTGTGAGCGCGTGTACGACGAAGTCACTTACGAACCGGACTGTCAAAGCAGCCCTTCCCCCACAACGTAGGCCACTGAGAAGTTTTAGTTTCAAAACATTCCTTCAGTTTGTTGGTGGCTGCATGTACATGTAGATCAGATCGTGACACCCTTTCTGGTGAGGAGATAAATTGCTTGTCTGTCTCCTTTTTGAGCATGATTCAAATCTAGAATGGACTTTTCATTGTCCCTCGGTGATTCCTCTGCTTGACAATGTACATTATGTCAAGCAGGGTCCATACATGGAATTATTTCCCCTTTAATCCTAGCCCTCCTCAATCCTCCAAAATCCTTGGGGTGGGATTTTGGAGGATTGAGGGTAATTGGCAAAGGTGCATGGGTGATTGCAAAGGATGCCATGAGTGAAGGTCGTGGGTTAGACCTTGCGTTGTTCTTGCTCAGTCAAGCATGAATTTAGCCCGATATTTCTTTTGAACCAACCGCACTGCTCAAGAATGTCGTTTGCACTGCCTCAACATAAGAGGAATTGCCAGAGGATTTTGAAGGATTCAGGCAGTAGGCACACCTCCAAATAACATTTCCAAGAAATTTTGGAGGATTGAGGCTGAATGGAACTTTATCATGTCGAAAATCTGAGGATTTGGGAGGATTGGGAATGGTTCCTGATAAAAAGGACTAGGGTTAATCCTTGGATTTTACAAACTGTAGACTAATTCTGAACTGAACAGGAACTCTTGATTATAATCTAACTTGCAAGAAGCCCCACCCTTCATTCGATCATAAAGTTCCTGATCGTAACAGCTCCACCACTTTGCAGAGACCAGCAGGCTCATGAAACAAACATTTACAAACTATGTAACATATATGTAGCTGCCACGCTCCATGGTGGTGAACTTGTGAGCTGGAGATCATCCAACACGGGTTGCAGTTTAAAAAATGGACAGAAACTGACAGCCGACAACCGATAGCACTGTTCGTAATGATCTATCCAATCCCACTTGAGCAAAAAGTACCCTCCTCGATGGTCGAAAAGAGCTGTCGGTGGGGAGTGTTCATTTTGTCGGTAGCAATGCGACCATAATGCGTGCATCTCACAGTCATTTGTGAACCAGCTAAGTGCAGTTCTCAACGAAGGAGTGCATGCTGCTGGGAAAATCGCGCCTTCTCCTGATCCGGCTCAGGGCAAATACGCCCCGGTGCACTGCGCAATGCAACAATATGCCACCTTCATGATCTTTTAGGTTGGGTTTCATGCAAGACAGCTCAACTTTGATTTACAATGTTAGTTAGGCTCCTACACATCAAAGTCAGTGTATCATATCTCTAGTTTGTGGAGTCTGACCGGCCGCCATCTTTTGTGTGGCCTCATACATTGCAAAAAAATTCCCTTTTCCCTTGAGAATCAAGAAGCAAATTCAATGTTTCTTTTACACAATGGCAAGTGCTAAGAGTCTCGGAAATGTGATAAAACCACTTTTAAATCTGTAGAGGGTATTTGCAGGTTGTTGACGCTTTGTTGACACAAAATAGCACGGCTGCACTTAGCTCAGATTGGACGTTGTCTTCATTTCGTTACGACTGATGTCCAGGGTATAAAAGTTGTGTACACAACGACCACAAATTTGGTCCTAATTTGTTCTTGATTTCCCTTGTTGAAGAAACTAATTTTCACATTTGCAAGTTCTTTGTGGCTTTATCTATATGTCTGGGGGGGGTTTAGGAATTTCAGAAGGAACCAGGGACTGCAAAATCAAGGAAAATAAGTGAGAGACAACTTCACTTTTTTTAGACGCAATTCATCCGTTCTCGAGTCTAGTTGTAAAGTGCACGCACATTCACATTCAGGACAGAAAAAAATCCGAGTTGCATGCACGCACTAGGCGTGCGCAATTTCCATTGAAGGTCTGTTGCTCACCTGCTACACCGAGGACGTGACTGGTACCCACCTGCTGTCGAGCCGATATATAAAAATGCAGTTCCGTTCTTGTCGGATTGGGGGCTTCAGACTGACCAATTAACCCACTATTGGTTGCCCCTAAAATGTTCAGATTTTGTTCTGCTTTAAATTTCAGTTTATAAACATCATAAATTTGCGACACAGGCTGCTATTTTATAAGATCTCTCTTTGAAGTGTTTCACATGTTGAATTCGTTCGTAGAATTTTATTAGTTAAAGATGCATAAATACACAATAGTGTAGAGATCTGATTTTTATTAATATGAAACAGTAACTTATCTTGATAATTGAGGCATAAAAAGAGGATTTCATTGCGGGCATGATGATCGTGATGAACAGGCGAGAGTGATGCTATACTGATGGAGAACACAGTATGCGGAGGCAGTACTGGCGCGCACGTGCAGTAGGTAGCGATCACGCAAAAACCGTGCAGTTGATAAGCCTTTCATTTTTTTTATTCGTAAACTAAACATACAATAAGCAGACTGATTTGGTAAGTGACAGTGACGAGTTGGATTTTAGAGCAATGGACCGATAGCTAGACTGTGTCAACATTTTTAAACCTCAAAGTTGGTGATTTTTCGTTTTTAAATGCAGGCCCAAGAGACCATCATTGTTCACCGCTGATTTTGACTCTCATATCAGTCTAGTTTATTAAAAAAAAATTTATCTAGACAGTGCCTTCTGGAAAAGTTCGCCATCTCTTCAAAACTGTGTTTGGTATAACTTTTAAAATGAAACAAATCAACAGATATTGGTAAATTGCTAGCAACAGAAATGTGCCAAAGCCTTGCTGGACAATACCCTCTCCCCTCGACACGGAACTGCCGGGTCCCTTAACTTCTATCAAATTTTGTGGACACCTTTCGTTTGTCTTTAAGTCCACTTGTTAACACATAATACATGCTAAAAAATGGCCAGGATTTGTACAAATCATGAATTTTAACTATCCCGTATTGGCCGCAGCAGACTCGGCTTGCATGCAAGTAACTAGGCCAACAGTCACCAGCGCACGCCACAGCCTCGCCCCCGGCCCGATGTTGTGTGTACTCGGCATGGAGATCAACGCTACTCATGGCTGAGAAACACTGTGCCGTCGTGTGATGCGTGCTTTATGTGAGCGTTTTCGAAAGTAGTGAATTCGCTTAAAGAAATATGGAAGGGCTGCATAGCATTGTGATCAGAGTATTGACAAGAATATAATATAAAATCGGTGCTTCGCTTAGACTTCGCTTTCACTAGTTCCAGTCAGAACATGTAGTTTTGATGTGCAGGTACACGGGTCGGAATCTTGTACGCTGAATAGTTGCACACCAATGTTGTCCGAGACCAAGACCGAGGCATACGAGACCGAGACCTACTCCTTCAAGACCAAGACCAGGACTTCGAGACAGAGACTTTTGCAGGTTGAGACCAAGACCACAACATCCAAGACCAACCATAAACCAATGTTTAGTTATTACCAAAAGGTAAATAGGGACAAACAGATGGCAGTACAATTAAGTATAAAAGAAATAAAATGAAAACATTAGCATAAACAAACACACACAAATAGGCCTAGGTCAAAAATGTGTTAAAGAATATCGTAGTTCTTTTATGATTGATCCTGCATTACTTTTTCCCTGGTCTGGTCATTTTCAACCTAAGAGTATCCAAAATGATATGAGAACATTAAAACAAATATCCTTAGACTGTTTTTTGTAAGCAAAATACTGAAAAACAAATACCCAAAAAGATGTACCGTAACAAAACTACTAAAACAACACGTACCACATACAAGACGGAATGAAAGCACTTTCACACATGTACATAATTCATAGCGTGCGCACACACAGACTGGTTCCCATCCCGGCCCTACGTTCAGCAGGAGACCACGTAGGGAATGGGAGCCAGTCTAGAGTGCAAATTCCACTATTCACAACCTCATCTCCATGGTGTCAAGCAGCATGGCTACTCTGGATTGAAAATAAAGTAACAACTTGAGACAAGGTTGCACCATGCTGCACTGACTAGTCTTCATTCCAGCATCAATTGCGTTGTTTATCGCAAAAAAAATCTGAACATTACTGTGTTGTATTTATATCAGTGGTTGAAGATTTCACTCGAGCGGAGGTAATTTTGCCTTCTCCAACCGCGGGCATGCGTGGTAGCTAGATGCACATTTTGTTATGGTCTCGACTGATCTCGAGAGGGAGACCCGAGACTATGGCATCTGAGACCGAGACCAGCGCTTTCGAGACCGAGACTGGGCCCTCCCAAGACCGAGACTCTGACAGGGCGAGACCGAGATTGAAAAAAAGGTCTGGAGACCTACAACACTCTTGCGCGCGCATACTGTACGAACTGCACTGGAGAACGGCTGAGAACAATCCAAAACAATGGCAAGAATTAACGTTAAGCCCGACTTTATTTTCACGTTTTTGTCTTTGGTGGTGTTGAGTTACAGACGTGAAATTGGCTCCTTGGAAAAGGTTGAAATGTTGCAAATTTTAGTTACAAAATTTTTCACCCTTTGTACCCTGGAATCCGTCCGTAACATAGAACGGTCAGGGAGTCCACCTGGCTAGACCGTACTTAACACCCTCCACACAAACCCTGTGAGACTTGTTTAAAAAATCAATTTTTTTAAAGTAAATGCTTCAATACTTTCCAAGCTAGACCTGAATTAACCTTCTGGGACAGGTAACCTCTTTCTGATGGCTGATGCCAAGTTTAAAAGAACAAAAAATAAGTTTTGTGTATGGGAAATCTTACGAAAATATAATAAAACCATAAATTCTGGAATGAGGAAGAGACATATATAAACGTAAAAATCTTTAAAAGCATGTTAAGGTACAGTAAGCTAAGGAGGCTTCAGTAGCAACTGATCACCAACTTCAATATCAAATTTGTGACGTTCTCTATCCAACATGTCCAACCATCATGGGCCAACATGTCCACTTTAACAAAGGGCCCACGGTGGACACTGCCCAGCTACGCCCATGTCATCAGACATCAGTTTCAGGTGTTACACTATACACAAGTGTCATGAAAAACCTGCCGACCGAACCTTGAGTTTGAAAGGTTAAAAAAGTTAACAGGCGCTGCTACTACAAACAATGTTAAATTTCGTTGAGGTTGTCGAACCTTTTCAACATGTTCAAGATGCTGATTCATCACGTTCTTTACACGACACGTTCACCATGTTACTATCACAATTGGTCATGTCGGTGCCAGCTTGACGAGCTTGAAGTCGAACGTTGATGACAAATAAAATGCAAAATACGAAAAACCTCACAACATCGACATGAAAGAACATTCCACAATGTTTTTGACACCAACATAAAATTGTCTATGTTTTCCTGAGAATAGTTACACAAATTCGAAACGATATCGCAGATTGAGGACAGGCACTTTTGTGTGAGCACGTGCTGTCGTCGTGGGCAGGAAATCGACCATATCGCCATCTTACCTCAAAGTTTTTTGTTCAAAAAACAACACAAAATCAGCAATTTGAGACTTTGTAGCAAACTTCGTTTATACATAATATGTAAGGAAAATCGACTACATATTTCTAAATCAGATTTATAAAAATCAGGGGGAAATACCTACCCTGGAATAGACTCTTTGTAATCGTTTGACATTCTTCTTGTATGCACAGCGGGAAAAAGACCGATGGATGGAGGATCAAGACTGAGCGCTTGCGAACGAACGTGCTTTTAATAAGTGTATGCCTACGCTATCCGGTGTAGATCCAGTTGCTAATGAAATCGCTAAAATCTTCAATAGTTTGCAGTTTGAAAAAACTGAAAATCTAGAAAATCTCCAAAAATTTCTTTTTGAACTTTGGAAATAGATAAATTTATTTCCAGTATCAGTAAATGTGAAGAAAACCATAAGCGCCGTAATATTTGAATACTGAAGCAGGTGAAAAAGTGCCGGTGTCATGCACACATGTGGGTGCATGACATTGCGCAATGTCAGAAATTTACATAAAATTATCATGCCATGACGTACGTACCGGCTCGTTTCGTGGAAGCTTTTGTTCTTGGATGATAGTGTTAAAATAGCTTTTCACCCGGAATATAATGACTTATCAATGAGTACCCACATGTTCAATTAATCACTCTGAGAGATTTTACAATTCTTTATGGACAAAATTTGTCAATTTTAAATAGTCCCACATGACTCGTTTTTAAAACATTATTCATGTGGCAGAAATATTTTTCATGAGGCGAGTTCGTTACTTTCCATACATGCACAAGAAACGTCTTAATCCACTTAAATGTACATGTACACCATTCCTGTCAGTGCCCCATGCGCCAATGTATATACGGGGTTACTTTCATCAACCCAAATGATAAAGCAGCGGTGGACACGCCCCTGCGAGAGGAAGTATAGTTACCCCATTATTTGGGGGTTATATACATGTATATACCGCCTTTAATACAATCAAAAAGCAAACAGACAATCATACCAACAAACAAACATACAACAAACAAACAACCCTACAAACAATAAAAAAAATCTGTAACTGATAACGTATTACTTGTCGACGGATCATGTATCAACCGAAAACACATCTAAAAATTGACGGAAATGGATCAGAAGGTGTGAATGCAATGGACGGGAGGGAAGTGGAGTTCAGTGCCTTTAATTAACCGATGAGATTACGTTCCAATAAGCGACGACGTCGCTGCTCAAAGTGGAACAAACTTGGTTAGGAATCAATGAATTATTTTAGGGAGTTGGAATAATGTTCAAGTCGATCCCAACCAAGAGTTTAAATTTCATTTCCCTAAACTTAAGACCGAGACAATATGAGGAAATGTACCATAAATTTCAAATTGATATCGTGCCATGTGGAGTTAGTGTTATTTTACCAACAGTGATGTAGTGATCGAGAGTAGAAAAAACATAGCCAATGTCGGCTACACTTATTTTGATACAGGTACAACTTGCTTGGCACCTGCTCTTGAAGTGTCAAGGGGCGCAGAGGTGTGTTTAAATAGCGTGGTGCGTATAACTTGACGTCACTTTATGACCGTTATGAATACACTGTACTGGTTTTTCATCGGCCAAGAACGATCCCAGAAAGGGTGACAAAACGCATGCCACACTCACCGTTTTGACATCTAATAAGTTAATTGGCCTTGAATAGGCCCTATCGTGCGAACGAACGCTAGACGTCACTCGAGTCTTCAAAACCTCATATCCCACATCACAGAAGTCAATTCAATACCCCGGAAAGTGTTACAAATTCGTTCAGAACGTTTGGAATTTCTTTACGCCATTTGCGCAATGTTAAATGCTACCAACCGTATTTGCAAATACAAACACAAAAATTTATTTGTTACAGGACATCATAATCCTTTAATGTTCGTTCAGAAAAGAAAATCAATAGTTTGCAAAAGCACTGTAAGTACAGCTTGAATTAAGCCTGATTGAACCAAAACCTCAAGTGCTTGGCCCACCAATGACGCGGGTACCCATCTTCTCCAATTAGAATACCGTGAGACAATACAGCTTACTCAAAATGACACAAATTATTCTGTATCTTACCAAAAGAGGACGGCTTGCTTTTTTTTAACCCACCTTTCCCCATGCTGATTCATTATCGGTCAATTTGGAGTTGTTGGTTGATGTACTTTTCCGTCGCCAGGCATGCATTATCCGATAAAATCCGACCACACTGTCAGTCAGTCATACATTATCAGTTGATGATACCTTATTCGTTGGTTACTACATTATAAAAAAAACACTGAAAAAGTTCCTAATGGGCCAGTGGTTTGCGAAAGCTTTAAACGCGCAAAGCGGCCGAACTTTGAATTTACTGCCAGATGGTGAGGTTTAGGTCTTTCTTATGTTGCATCATTAGGCCTATGAACCACCGAAGCGTATTGCTGCCAACGCGAAAAAAAAAATTGTCTCGTTTAAATGACAAAGTTATCTCATTTAAACGAGATATCTAGATGTATCAGAGAAATATGGAAGGGATGCGTAGAACCGTGATCAGAATATCGACAAGAATATAATATGAAATCAGTGCTCTGAAATATGTGATTGCCGAGCTTGCGGTAACTGAGTACATTCTTCAGGGCAAGCAGATTCAGTTCAGAATGAACGCAGAAAAATCGACATGTATGTTAATTAAACGAGATAATAAGTCGTTTAAACGAGATGAAATATTTTTTCGCGTTAGCAGTAATACGCTTCCGGATTGACACATGCTAACAGCAGTGCTTGAAATCCCACTAAGCTGCTGAGCTTCAGTTAGGGACACCGGCCCAGGAAAGCATTGTGATTGGTTCAAAGTCCCTCGAAAAGTGCCACAGAAAGAGTACATAGCGCCCTCAGGGTCTAACAAGTGAGGAAACAGTCAGGTAACCGCTGAGCTCTACAGCTCAGAAGAGCTTTCGTCAAGGTGCCCCACTGTCTTGTTCAGCAGGTGTTTTGTGGTAGAAACTCATGCAGTAATACCGTTTGCGTGAAAGTTCCGGGCATGTGTTGTCATGGTTGTGACTCACAAGTTCCAGCCAAACCCTCACTCGTCTGCCGAAGACATAGGTTTACACTGTGTATGCATGAATACCTTTGAAGTCCAATCTATTTCCGTCGGGAACGAACATTTTTCTGGGTGAGTGCAAAATACCGGAAAAACTTTAATGAAAACCTAAAACCAACCAACGTCCATGATGCAGGCTACATGACATTAACCCAGGTTAGGACCTTGACTTTGTCTAAATATGGTTTGAATCTCATGTGACGAGTGGCTCGAGATTGGAGACAACTTACACTTCGTTCTTTTGTTGGAATTGTCCATAATCGTGAAGATTTATTTGGGAACATGGTTTGCACAACTTGCTGCTTCTCTTGAATGTAAGAAAACTAACCTAACTGGCATCTCTCTCGGTTGATCTCATTGAAAAGTACACTTTAAATTAAACTTGAAAAAAATAATCAAAATGGAGATTTACATACTTTTCCTGACAAATGAGGGATTTCTGTTGCCATGATTTCAGTACAGGAAGATAATGTTCATTCAGGATTTTGTGTTCTAATTCATTGTGAACTTGATATTTTTCAGTCAAAACTTTCCTGAGAAATCTGCTATTGGCATGATTGGCTTACCATCATGAACTTTAAGAATCTGCAAAGAATCACAGCAAAAATTACGATGGCAAAATATTCAAATTTACGGCAGATTTTGATCATGCAGAAATCGGTGTAATACAGGTTTCTGCCTTGGATGGCATCAGTTTAGGTCAGTTCATACTTTGTGTAGAGCTTGGGGAACACAAATTAGTGATGCCAGATGAAATATTTATGTTGTGAATTTGTAAAAGTTGATCAAATTTTAACTCAAGTAAATTTCACTACAAAGTTGTTGTGACATCAAATTCGCTTTGCTTTCGCATTTGCCTGAAGTCTGAACTGGCCTCCAGACAGGCCTACGGTGTCCAATTTGCATTAGCACAGAAATGGAATGGGAGACATTCACAAGAACTATGGCCCTGTAAGCACTGATACTTTTTGCACAGTAAAAGCATGGAGGTAGGAAAACACTCAAGGTAACCAAAAAGTGTAAAACCATTTAGAGTTTAAAAACACTCAACATAAAACTAAAAGGTGGAAACACTTGTAGAGAACCTGTGTGACCAGATTTACAGAATTCACACTATCTGTGATATTTGGAATAATCTGAAAATTATTGTAAAACGTGGAATTCAGTAGTAGCCCATCTCAGTGGAATTAGGTGATGTGTTTTTAAAAAACACAGGGATGTAGTTCAACATGAAAGCATGGGAGTAATTAGTTACCCTTTTCCAACTTCAAATTAATGGTCATTCATAAACAAAAAGAACTTTTTCCCCCCAAAGGACTTGCACATAAAAGGTAGACGCTATCTGTAGTAATATCACTCTCCTGTTTTGAATTATCTCCATTTATGGATATCAAATGATGATGAGGTCGGTGACCAATTTTCACTTTTGCGCAGAATGTGCAGAATTGATGATACATGGACATTGTACTTTGCCAGCGGTTCAGGGAAGCATACAAATAACGGCATCTTGCAAGCACGAACATCAGTGAGAATATTCCTCTGAAATTGTACTGAATGACTTGATGTTTGGACCACTTTCTCAATCCTTCCAAGTCCTCCGGGCGATTTTGGAGGATTTTGGCTACATGGCAAAGTTGCATTGCTGATTGCGAAGGACACTTTGTCTCAAGATCAGAGGTTAGATCTTGTGTGTTTTTTTTATGGTCAGCCATGCATAAATTCATGTCCACATCCTCCCTACTACTGCAGGATGCCGTTTACACTGCCTCGACATAATTAGAGGAATTGCCAGAGGATTTTGAAGGGCTGACACAGTGGGCAACCCTCCACAGAAAATATTCAAGAAATATCGGAAGATTTTGGGTGACTGTATCCAATTTTTCCCTAGGGGCAGTTAGAGGATTTTGAAGGATTGAGGATGCATCCTTGCCAAAAGGACCTAGGCGGCTGGGGTTGAACCAAAATTGCACAAGCTTACGAAGTCTGCATATATTGATAAATGCACAGGGTCATCATGTTGTGAACAGAGTTTGCCTTCGTGACTAATGATGTTTAAACAAGTGTAAAGTACCGGTAGGTAATCTGATAAAATAATCATAAGCAGTATGATTCCTCCATGTATCAGAGAAGTCAGTGGAAAACATAGTTGTTCAGAA